CTGGAATGCCGAAAGGGGATTTCCATTCATTAGAACTTGGTAAGAAACTGTTGTAACACATTGCCGCATAACGTGAATCTAGTACGGAGGGAAAACGTAAACTTGAAGCAGCTTGAAAAGAAAATTCCAATTAACTCTATCATAGGCTTTATTCATGTCCAATTTAATGGCTGCAAAAAACCTTTTCTTAGCCTTCGATCTGTTTATGTAGGATAGGACTTCATGAGCAATAAGCGCATTATCCGATAGAAGCCGACCAAGAACAAAAGCGTTCTAGAAGTCAGCGATTAAGCTAGGCAGAATCTGACGAGATCTTGACTTAAGGCATTTTTTAATACATTTATAGATCACATTGCATAAGCCTATCGGACAGAACTAGGAAACAAACTCTGGATTATCTGTCTTTGGAATTAAGGTCAAGAACGTTTTATTCCAGTCCTTAAGCTTATAGCCGTGAGCAAAGAAGTGTTACACTGTTGAAATAACCGAGGGACAACCAGAATCCCAAAGATTCGTGAAGAAAGCTGATGGGAACCTATCCGGGCCTGGTGATTTATTGTCGTCAATGCTAAAAAGAGCGATCAGAATTTCTTCTGAAGAAAGAGGTTCTATAAGAGAATTCTGTTAAACTGAAGAGAGAGATGGTAATTGCAATCCTTCTCACCAATCCTCATCAAAAGAGGAAGCACTCTCTGAAGTCGAGTAAAGATCTTTGTAAAAAATCCAGCATCATAGAGGCTATCGAATCTAATTCTCGATGCCAGACCCTAGAAGAGTCTCGAAGACCATAGATCTTATTCTTTCTCTTTTCTGGACTGAATAGAGGAAAATAGAAGATGAGAATGTGAATCACCCAAAGCATCCCGGCCATTTAAGCTTTGCTCGCTGTTATAAAAAAATATAAGTCGTTTATGTCTCAGCCACTATTTCATTCTTGGTGGATATGAACAAGCATCGGCCTGCACGAGAAGACAGAGATTGGGAGGCTTGTTGAACCTCAAACACCAAATGTTTCTAATTTATACCCCAAGCCTTCTTATTAGAAATACACCAGGTTAAAAGCCGTTCACGAATAACAGAAAGCTTACAAGACAAGGAAAACATAAGTGACCCTCGAAAGAACAAGGAGAAAGCAGCAATGACTATATCTCGAACCTTTATAGCAGATAAACACAGTTCTCAATTCTATAGGGACGCTTAACAACATCTAAATCAACAGTGTCAAACAAGATAATTGCTGCATGATCTGAAAACAAAATAGGTTGATTAAGAATTCTAGTGTCTGGGTAATTAGTAAACCAGGAAGAAGTACCATAGGCTTTATCTAGCCTCTCAAAAATTGGGTCAGAATCAAGCCTATTATTATTCCAAGTAAACCGAGGGCCTGAGAAAGGAACATCTACTAAATCCAAGCTAGTACGCCAATATAAAAAATCTGACCTCCCAGGGATAGATAAGTTTCCACCTATTTTATCTAAAAGGAATTTTACCTGATCGAAATCACCCATAATAATCACATTCGGATAAGTCTCCAAAATATTACTAATCGTACTCCAAACCTCTAACCGATTTGAAATATGGGGTGATCCATACACAAACATCACATAATTTTTTTTATCTCCTTGCAACAATTTATAGAGATATACATTTTAAGAGCTATAAACAGGGACTTCTACTAAAGGAACAAACCAGCATATAAACATACCACCACTAATCCCTAAAGCATCTATGCCACAATAACCCAAAAAAGGCAAAGAGGCTAGTTTTTGTATCACAGAGAGCATTGTTTTCAAAAGACGACAGACCATGTCTAAACCATGAGATTGGACTAGTGAGGAAATATATGGAATTTTAGGGGAGTCCGTCTCCTCCTATACCCCTACAATTCCATAAAGCAACTCTCATCCTGGCTATGGTGACCCTTGACGGGAGGTCACCAATCCCTTAGAAGAAACTTTTCAAGAAGTACCACAATTTGCCTTGCGTCTTTTGTAAGGAAGAAAGCAAGGTAAACAACCAGATGTCAAAGAGTGTTGCAGCATATCATCAGGAAGAGGTGGAGTAGAAGGTTTAATTTGAACACCAGAACGCTTACGAGGACCATGTTGTTTCACCCATTCCCACATTTTCTCACCACTCTTGCGCAACTTCAAACTGGAATAAGTCCTCAATTTTCCACCTACTTTCCGCAAAGGAGAACAGGAATGGGATTTGGGAGGAGAAGACACCGAAGCAGGTAATGCAGGTGGCAATTGCGGCGGTGAAAAGTCCATAGGAACCACCGTGTTGGAATTAGATAAGGTGTGAACCGAATCCGAAGAACCATGATCCGAATCCAAAGAGTCGTGGTTACTAGAATCCGAAGCTGCAAAAGAATCCGGAGTTAGGGGAAATTCAAAAGCATTAGATGAAGAATCAGCAATGTAGCCCAAACGCTCAAAATTCTCGATCGGAAAAGATAAAGAAAGAGACGGTGAAGGTGAGGCAGCGGCAGTAGCCGAAGGAGCTTCCCAATTACTAGGACCTGCTCTAAAAGGGTCCTAAAAAACGGGTCCAGTAGGGCCCATTGGAGGAGGAGAAAAGTACGGGATTATTAAAGGAGTTGAAGGGACCACCTGATCTATCTCGTAACTTGATCTCGAGGCTTAATAATAAGGATCATGATAAAAAAAATGGGCTAGGTCATACCTGAATTAGGAACCGAGTCATTTCGATGAGGCCCAAAGGCTGTAGGTGAGCTGACTTCTGTTGAAATAATTTGGGACCGCAACGCCCAACCCGATCTAGTATGACCCGCCCTTTCATAAATAAGTCAGCTAGACCCGATCCCACCAAAGGAGAATGCATGTAAATCCTTTCATCAAAAGAAGACAAATTTTTCCGCCACCCATCATGTGGATTCGCCAGGTGTGGATTGACATTTGATTCATCAGAACCCAAACTCTCCAAATTGATCTAGCAAAAATAATTAAAAGCGACATGATTGACACGTGGTGAAGTTGTGTCAACTTGATCCTGCGTCTCGATCTGCTCCCTAATCGTGCAATAATTATCCAAACATCTCTGATGAACTTCATGTCTGCTGCTCCGAAAAACACCAGGGTCTGGTGGAGGAATAAGCCTTGGAATGGAAGTAACCGAGGCACGGTTGTGAACAGTAGATCCTGATTGAGTATCTTGTGAGTCCAAGGGGAAATTCAAACCACCACTTTCATAATCCGAAGGACGGGAATCAACCGAATTTTCCAAAGGGTCCTCATCATCATAATTACCAAAGTACACCTCTATGGTCCAAATCGAACGAGTTGGACGGATACCAGGAAGAGCATTTGAATATAAATTGGTATCGGTAGGACTATAAAGCACAGGAGCGCTGCTTTCGTGGAGCTGACAAAAGCGGGCTTCTAGATGGTAGGTGATTGACTCTTGCTCCGCAGCACAAAAATTCTTGCTGTGCCCGACAAATCCACACTTTTTGCAAAGTCTAAATATACCCTCATAATTAAATCTTACCCACGTGACTTGATTATTTATAGTAGGAAAATAACAACCAGGAATTAAGGGCAACGATAAGTCAACCAGAATTTTAAAATGATGGTACAGAATAGGAAACTGACCGTTGGAATCGTCCACCATGGTTACCTCTCCAATATGTGACAGGACTGTTGATGCTATCTCAGGAGTGGAGTACCGAATCGGAAGACCCTCTACTCTGACCCAAAGCTCCACAAGGTGAAGGTTGAGGTTAAGAGGCACCGAGTAACCACGAAGACTTTGAAGAACAAAGAACCCACCTCAATAATGAACCCAACCTCTATTATCTAACTTATCAGCGTCTTCCTGAGTTCCACAGAAGAACAAAAGATCACGACCATAAGGATAAACCGTAACAGGGGCTTTTACATACCAGAATCTCGAAACAAGTCGTTGAACTAGAGGAGTTGTGAATCTGCGATCATCCCAATAACGCCCTATAATGCAACACTCCCAATCTAAATCAGAATCATCTTCAAGAAGGGTGGGGGGGGGGGGGGGGAGATATAATCCTCACCTATGAGTGAGGATAAACAAAAGTAGTAGGAACCACAAATCTAGACATACTGGAAAACTGAGATAATCTAAAATGAGGTAGGACAAGAAAGATAAACAACTGAAGTTAAGAAAGAGTAAAGGAGCGAGGAACAGGGAAGAAGAGAAGTAAGTAAGAAAAAATTATTGAAGTTAGTTTTTTTTATTTGGTTTGGAGGTGAAAACGTGAGGATTTTCTCACTCTAGAAACTTTCTCTCACTAGAGAGTTTGAACTTTAAGGCTATGTTTGGATAACAAAAAATGGAAGGGAAGGGAAAGGGAAGGAGACAAACTCCCTTGTTTGGATAATATGTTGGGGGAGGGAAGGGGAGGGGGAGGGAGGGATCCATTTTCCCTCCTCCTTTAATAAAGATCATCCCTTCAAAATTGGAGAGATTTGGAGGGAAAATGGAGCTCATTATTTCCTCCACTTTCCCTTCCTTTTCCTTCCTCCTATCTCCCTCCCTTCTATTTCCCTTCTAATTTGTTATCCAAACATAGCATAAGTTATGGTATGGGTAATTAATTTGTTCATTGTTATTACGCTTTGTCCCTATGATTTTAAAGAATAATAGGCTTATGCACCAATTCTTTCAAACCAAGTATGTTACAATAGCTTTAATAGAAGGATGTAATTTATTACAAACTTTCAAGATATAAGTTATTAATGCCATAATTAGGTGATTGAAGTCATTTCATTCCATGATCTCCCACTTACATATAACGTTATAGCTCATTAGCTCCACACTTCCCCTCCTTTAAAACCACAATTTTCTCCACTTATACAACTTAGTTAGGCTAGCCAAGCCTAGTGGTTGTTGATAGAAGTAAATTTACAAAAAAGCTTGTCTGAATGGAGTTTTGAGATGCATTAGCAAATGCATCTTCAGGGGTAAGCTTGTAAATTCGCGCGATTGAGTGGAAATCCACATAAGTTCCCGTTATGCTTTTTGTCAGCCCGTTTCTACAGTATATTGTATTTAGTAAATGTATTTAGGTAAGTACTCCCTATTTTGTATTTCACATCTTGTCTTGTTGGGGTATTTTTTCTCTCTCTTCCCATTTACCCGTCCTTCTCTCCTCTCACTCTCTATCTTCCCGCTGAAAAAACAAACCCTTTATTTTCTCCTTTTGAATTTGAATTTCGAACCCTTTTTGTCACTCTAGCTCTCTGTATTCCTCCATCTCCGTCATTCGTGGTTTGCGTGGTGGGTTTGTTGAAGAATTCATTGTGGGATTTGCTGCGGGGAGAACTGAAGAGGGTGTTACGCAAATTCGCGGAAGAAATTTGACCCAAGTAAGCGAGTTATTTATAAAATTCATTAGTTTTTCTGAAATTTGTAATGCTTGATGTTTTTATTTAAGTAATTTTTCTAAGTGAATTTCAATTTAATCGTTTGACCTAAAAGTTAGGGTTTTTAAACTTTGGATTTTCTGGGTTTTTAGGGGGTTTTAGTGTTGTTGTTATGCGAAATCAGTAATTGGGTTGAAGAATTACATAAATCCCAATTACAATTGTCAAAAATTTGTTTGTATGTTAGGGTTTGTACTGGCGAGGAGTGATTTGGCAAATTTATCTGGGTATTTCTGCTAAAATCATATATGTTTACGATGGACCGTAATACCCTCCGTGAGTATTCTGACTTATGATGAAGCATTCTGACCTTAGAAAATTTGCTAAGCTTATTTCAAGTTGAAAACTTACATAGATGTCAGCTAACTCGTACATCATTTCAGTGCGATTTTTTAACTCTCTGATGAACTTTAGCTTCTAAATAATGGTACTACTGTTTAAGTTTTTGTTCCACTACGACAATTACAGGTACAACTGAGTAATGAAGTGATCCATTTCTGTTTATAATTGAGATGCAGAAAAGGGGGTACGACTAAAACATCCAAATGTACCACTAAAACATCTTAATGTACCACTGTATGTACATTATGTTGAGTTGTTACTGATACCTGGTGAGGTGCAGCTGAATACTAAGAAGCTATCACTTAATGAATATAAGTTACCAGTTGGTATGAATTATATGATTATATGGGTATTTCTTGTTATTTAATTGATTTTTTTTGTTAGGTTATATATGTTTGATTAGATTGTATGTTTTAAGATTACTTATTCATTCATTCATCAATTAGTTGAGTAATAAAAAAAAATTGATTGATAGCCGTGTGTGTTGTTGGGTGCTATTATTATATTGTTGTGAGTTTGGTTTTTTTCATGTCGAAATGTAACCTTAAATCTCAATCTGTAAGAGATCTTCAACAAAGATGCTTAATGGAAAATCTTGTCTAATTTGGGTGCTACTTATGTGTGCTGTATATATGCTGTGTGGTTTACAAGTGCTTGACCTCTTGGTTTGTTGTAAGTTATTTATAAGCAGGGCTGTTGTGGTACATTGGTGCTTTTGTGACCTGAATTGAAGGGGCTACCTTATTCATATGTTAATTATAATTTTGCTTTTTGAATCATTTTGCTGAATGTGTAACTTTTAGCACCATAAGGCTATAAGTTTTCCTATCATAAGGCAACTATGTTCTTATCTTTCGATGAATTTTGCAAATAAATGTTCTGAGGCAAATGATGAGTGTGTAGATAAGCATCTATATGTCTTTTTGTGTCTCTGTTGATCTACTTTTATCAAATCAAATTATGGAGGGTGTAATGAATCCTATTGTTACCTTCTGGTAGAATGTTGATTCTTTTACTTGACTAGGCCCTGTTTTTTAGGCCCTGTTTCTGCATTTTCTGACTTCTTAATGATATGTCTGTATAAGCTAGGTTTCTATTATTCCTTGCAAAAATTATGAGATCGAAGACAGTTGTACGATCGAAGAACTGGAATCATGTGATGGTGAGTGTTCAATGTTTGTGTTAATATATTAGTTGAATGTGATTGGGGGAAGACTGAAATTTTTTCTCCATTGGATGTCATTTAGGATCCTTCAACTTCTAAGGGCCCTGCCCTTGGTAAGGCCCCTGCCCCTGGTAAGGCCCCTATGAAAGGGGTGTCTGAAGTGAAAGGGAAGCAGAAACCTAACAAGAGTGCAAAGGTACCCAAGAAGTCAACAAATGTTGTTGAGGATAGTGAAGAAGACAACGGTGGTGATGAGCAAAGTGATGAATACAGTGAAGATGACTCCTGCTCTCCCTCTGAATTCATGAAGATGATGATGCAGTTCATGAAGAGTAAGAGTAGTCGGAAGAGGAAAAGGTCAAAGGTATAGTGAATATGTAATTACGAAAGACAGAGTATATTTGTACCAAATGAATATTCTAAGAATTGTATATAACATTGGTTTATGCTTTGCATGTGTTTAGGTGAAATAAGCGAAGGGCAAAAAGTTTTGAAGGAAGGGGCAGTGCTGAAGACCCATCACGAGAACGTCGGAAAGGTATGATGTTTTAGTCCCTAACTAATTTGAAATTGGGCATGTAAATGAGTATTTTATTTGTACTTTACTTGACTTTATTTGTTGGCTACTAATGCATATTCCCTGTTGTTGTGTCATGGCAGTAGCCCAACATTGTATGCAGAGTCGAGTCTTTCTGCCAAGCTGTCAAACATTTTGATTCCCGAAGACGCGCATTAGTGACACAAATGGGGTTTCAAGGTCTGTTAGAGATTGACATGAAAAATATACCAAGGCAATTTTGCTATTGGTTGATGACAAGAGTGCTTCCTGATGGCACGATGGTGTTTGGGCAGAGTGAGGTGTTACCCTTAGGTCCCGCTCAAGTGAGGTCTGTACTTGGCTTACCCATGGGTGCTGAAAAAGTGCCTTTTGATGTTGGTGAAGATGATGAGGAGAAGGTGGAGAAGATGAGAAGGATTTTTGATCTGTATGGTGTCGGTTCGAATAAAGAAACCATTTCCTTGAAAAAAGCTTCAGATGCATTATGTCCGTTGGATGAATCGGGTCAACCAATTCCCCTTGCTGATGAAGTTGACGAGGAGGATTTCATGGTAGCCTTTCTACTTGTTGCTCTTGGTAAAGTGGTTTGTACAACCACTAATAATTCAAACTTTGCGAAGTCACTCCTACCAGCATTGACAGTGGCCACTGAGGCTGTCAAGTATGACTGGTGCTCGCTGACTTTTGAGTGGCTATGTGACACGGCTAACAGATTTCATAGGAAGTTCCAGAAAGATGGTTTTAGGTCTGGATGTGGGGGTAGTTTTCTGTTCATTATGGTGAGCCTCAGTCATACAGATGCATATTTTGGTGTTCAAAGTATTATTTACTAGTCATATTTATAAATTTATTTTATATTTTATACTCATTATTTTTTTTTTTGTAGATTTATTATCTCGATCACTTGCATCGAGTTCCTGTTCAGTGGGGCGTATACCCGAGGGTGATGGTATGGAACTCTGTTGAGGTGAAGGCAGCTCTTCTTAAAGATAATGTTTCGACGAATGAGTACAGCAAGCTTGAGGTAAAACACCAACATTATTTTTATATGTCTTGTGGGATTATAACTTTACATGTAACCAATTTTTCCCAACCGATAGGGCGTCGATATTGCTTATGGAGAGGAACATCCCCTAGTACCAAGGGAGGATGATGGTAACAAGGCGGTGGTTTCAGGAAAAGAGGTTTCCGTAGATGTTGTTGTGGACCGGGTGAGTGTGCAAAGTGTATTCTACTATGACTGTACTACCTCGTTTTGATGCATATTATAATGTAGTAACTTCTGATAATTGTGCTTCATTTATCTCAATCCTTAGCTCCTAATATGTGTCCCTTTGTATTTGTATGTGTAGGTATTAGGTCATTTGGAATCAAAGCTCGAAACCATTGTTGAGGGTTTGATTGGGACAGCCCTAACTAGCTTTGTTAGTAAGATGACTGGAACACTTGTTGATCAATTTGTGGGTTTGCAAAATGTGGGTTTTCAAAATGTGGCTAGAAGGGATGAAAATGCAGGAAGTACCGGACCTAGGAATGAAAAAGCCGCGAGTACCGGATCAAGAAGGGGTGGAAATGGTTGGATTAATGGACATAGGGCTGAAGTGATTCCTTCCCCCAAAAAGGATGGTGCTGATGATGACTCTGCTGACAGGTCATCACCCAATTTGGAGGAAGGACCTAGGCCAAATAAGCTCAGTCTCTTTGACAAGAGGATTCTGTGCTTCGTCCGCGGTTGGAAGGAGTTGAAGAGTGATACAGAGTAAGTAGTAGATAAATTTCATTTTTGACATATTATATGATAATGATCTCCATATTGTGTTACTAGTTGCTAATGTTTTTGTGAATATAGAGCTCTATATTTGAATCTACGCGTGAAAATCATTGTTTAATCTTTAGCAAATGTTTGGTGCTTCACTTAGAAAGAGTAATTGATGCATTTTTTTCTTAAAAATTGGATATACATTATTGTATATGTGATCTTTTATGCCATGTGTGCAGGCCCGGTCCAAACTTAATTTTATGTGATGGTGTGGATGCATCTCAAAGGGACTGTTATCGTGTTGTGTCCCCGAGGGCTCGTGTTGGAGATCATTACGTCAGGGTGGCCTCTGTTCTGTATACGAAGAGTTGGGCATCACAACATACAAGGAAAAGGATTATGATGGATCCTTCGTATGCGGTGAGTTTTTTGCAACCACTGTATTTGGTTATAGAGTTTCTGCATCAACATTTTTATTTTTTTTGTAGTATTTTACTAATTCATTTTATATTGTTTTTAGAACTTCGTTATGGTTGGTAAAGATGACCCTAAAGAGTTGGGGCAAAAGTACGGGAAGACTTTCCTTAGCTATTCTCTTGACCAAATACAAAGTGTAAGTGTTAAGTTTCTCAAACTATTCATTTGTTTATAATTAAGCCTTTTATAGTTAATAGAGGGGTACACTTTCTATAACTCTGTAGCCTTAGGTCCCCAATCCCCTGGTGTCTACTTTGTATTTCAACAGGTTCATTTGTTTGTAATTAAGCCTTTTATAATTAAAGTTGATTATGGTTGATACAGGTTTTTGTCCCTGTCCTTGATGCATCTGTTAAGAATGCAGAACATTGGTATTGCTTGGCCTTGGATTTAAAGGCGCATGTGGTTTGGATGATTGATTCTCTGTACGAAGATCCGTACTTAAAGCATGACAAGTGTCATCAGCAACTAGTAGGGAGCTCAACTCTGTCCTTCCTTACTTTTATGTTATTTTCTCCTTTTCTTCGCGAAGTAAAGTTGTGACATGCCCAATTTCTTCCTTTAGATGGTGGCTTTGGAGAAGTTGCTACACCTGAGTGAACCCACATGGGAGGTGGGTACAACTTCAACATGGTTGAGGAGGACCTTCCCGGTACGACAGGCTGACAAGTAAGTATGTTTTGATTGATTTGAATGTTATTGGCTTTATGGTGGATGTTGGCTGGTTAAGTATTGATTATATATATGATATGTTGGCTGGTTAGATTAGAGCTCTTTTCGCTTAATATGTGGGTTTCACTTACCAATTTCAGTGTATTTTGTTGTTGGTTTGCTTATTCTTTGCCAATTGGTTACCTTGATTGATTGATATCCATTTAATTTGGATGTTGTTTATATGTTAATCATTACTGTCGCCCTTTTTTCCTTTTTATGTTCTACTAGTGCTTGCAAGAGGTCAAGTTTGCAGTAAGCTTGCATAGAGTAAATCTAACTAAACAATTTCTCTTTATTGTTGCCACTATTCCTTTGTTTTGTTAACTATAATGATCTTTGTCATGGGTAGCATGCTCATGTTCTGTGGGTTCTCTAAGTTTTTTATGCAACTCTTCATTTACATGGTTGGTTGGTTGGATTTTCCTGTATTTGGGCAATTGAAAGGTCTCTAGATTGCATGTGTGTTTCAAGTTTTTTGTTGTGAGCAAATGTATCTCTGTTTGGTTAAATTAATTAAGGATGTAATTTAATCAATTGCTAACTAGGATATGACATTACCTTAAGTCATAGAATTTGCTCTAGGCAGAGGATGCTCCTGTCATGTGAAGTGCATGGTTTATTAGTTTCCTATTTGTGTGATTAATTTCAAGTGAAGTACATGCGTATTTTGTTTTCTAATGCTTATCTATCTGGCTGTCGATGTGTTGCTTTAACAGTTGCTCGTGCGGCGCAATCATGCTATCAAGCATAAAGCATTGTGCACGTTCTTTCGAAGCTCCCTATCACATGGTGAGATTATGGTCCTTTATTTGTCCTACGCGATTAAATGAATGGAACGCGATTAAATGAATGGATAGATGTAGATGAATTATTTACTAAGGGCAGAAGAAAAGTTTGTATCATTTCCATGTGTTTTGACATAAGTTTTTTTGCAGGAGAAACATACCTCCTCCTTGAGGAACATTTTGTTTCTTGAAGATGTGAACAACGAATTCAACGAGCTGCATGCAAATTTGGAGAAGATCCTCCCAAAGGAAAGACGTGGTGGTAGAAGGACAGGTTCTCAGATGAGTTGATAGGGGTTTGTGGTTGTTTTTGAAACTAATACTGATATTCTCTTCATCAGCAATGGGGTGCATAACCCAATTTTGTGGAAAACTAATTATGAGGTTGTTAACATCGGTCTGGTTAATTAGGGGATTATATAGTTACTTTTAGGATAATTCGGCCCAGTTGAACAAGTCAGCTAGCTAGCTAATTTTGTGGATAACTAATTATGATGCTCTTAACATTGTAGTTAATTTTAATGCTACAATTAGAATTTTAATTCAGGTTACATACCCATTACTATTTTGTAGTTGTACCAACAATCTTTAGGATAACACAATCATTAATCAGGGTTTGTTTCGTACTACACTTATAACTAAATAACATATTAATCTAATATTCAAAGCTAGATTCGGATGTCCAATTAAGGCCAGAAGCTGAGTCGGAACCCATCTTGTTCTCAAACATATTGATTGCTCGTTGCATGTACAGATCCCTTATGATTGCATTTGGGTCATATGATCCCACTATATTGCTTTTTAACTTCATAACCTTCCTTGACAGCTTTCTGCGCCTTCTTTCATCCCGTCTCCTTTCTGGTCAAACAGTTAAAATGGGACATTTTCATTACTCAGTTGTGTAAAATTTGTATCCACAGTAGCAACACTAGAAGGCAATATGGTCCAACTGAACATCAAAGAAGTGCAATTTTACATACAAATAGAACATGTTTCCTAATTAACTTCTTGTATTTTTTACCCACACATTGGATTTTTTCAATTAATGGATTTTTTTCAATTTATAATGGACCACACACAACATATAATCATTAACTTCTTGTATTTTTTGCCCCTGGTATCAAGTGGTTCCTTTTTTTTTTAAAAAAACTTAGCAATAATAAAAGGCATTAAAAGCTGAACATCAAAGAATACTACTGTAAAGGATTCAAAGGCAAATTGCTCCGATTGTACATCAAAGAACTGTAACTGAATATACAAGTACAACATGTTTCGTACTTAATTGGTACTACCTAAAGTGGTTCAAAGTAAAAGGCAACATAATCCAATTGAACAGCAAACTCGTACAACTGGTATATAGTGTGCCTTGAACAAGTAGAACATTATAAATTGTAGACGTACGAATTAGTTTGGTTCATTTAAGTATTACATTAGTTCCTTCAACTCCCATCTTTTGTTCATAGTTGATGAAAATGCTGTCATAGGTGCATAGAGCCCAGCACAAACTTGTACTATCTGAGTATCCAAAGACCTCACCATTTCCAAAGCTGACTGACATTGCTTGTTCAGCTCAACTTAATACTTTCTCAGTTCAGCTGGACTTAAAGTTGTCCTTCTGTCTCACCTTCATGTCTGACTTTAGTAAAGGAACTCTGCATTCTTCGGATTTCCTGGGATTTTTAGTCTGCTTTTCCAAAGCTTAAAATATGAATAAAACAAAAATATTTACTTTAGCTACTGTAGTTAAAGTTAGTTCTTATTACTATCTTCCATTTCCACATACCCAAAGACCTCACCATTTCCACTTTCCACCAGCTACCCAAAAACTAAACTCCTTTCTTTGGCTTCACCATGTCCAACCCTCAAAAAACTATTGTGGGTTCTTGGGGAAGGCGCATATTCCCTCATCCAATCACCCCACTACTCTACTTCAGCCCCTTCAAGCCTAGTAACACCCCTGAAATTGATTTCAACACCACGGCTTATTTTGCGAGCAAATATGACTGCGACGAAGGGCTTTACATGGAGCCTACCTTTCTTCGTGATCAATTGTCCGACTATCTTGACTTTAGGACAACCACCTACATCCGAAAAAGTTTGATGGAAGAGTCGATTGGAAACATTCGGCCAGCTTATTATCCAGATCTAAGTGATTTAAATGGCTATCTCCACAAGGGGGTTGGTGCTTTTGCCAAGTGGTTGTGCAAAAATACAACCTCTGCTGATTTCATCCCAAGAGAAATTTTTCCAATTTTTGATTTGAAGCCCGAATTCGACCCCGACAGACTTCCTCTGTACACCCTGCCTTTACAAGAAACACACCTTTTCATTGGCGCTACCACGGCAACCTTTCATGTGATGGAGGTGCGCAGCTTTGTCGAAATCATTCGTATCAATGTTTTCTCTTGTGTTACCACCAAGCTGAAGGTGAAGTACCATCGGGTATCTTTGTATGGGTCTGAGGCTGATGTTCATGAGCCATCTCCTAAGTTCTTACCAATGGGGTCACATGTCATATTGTGGAATGCAAGGAATGTTCACCGACCATCGTTTGTGGAGACGTTCTACCAGTTGTTCAATGCGTACTCTCCTAGTGCTGTTGTCATAACCGAGGCCCGCTTTGACGAGAGCACGATTGAATTTGTTAAGTACGAGCTAAGGGCGACGTACAATGTACAAGGATTTGGAGGGCAAAACGGATACAGTGAGGTGCTACTTATATGGAATGTCAAAGATTTGGCTCCATGGATCATCAAGAGGGGCAAATCGTATTTTGGCCATCAGCTTGGCGTCGATCAGAGGGGATGAAAGTTTCATCTTCCCCCTTATCATGTTCACAAAGCCACTTTGCAAAGGCTCCAGTCCCCTTGCGTTGGTAACCTTCCAAATCAGAGAGCAAGGGGAAGTAAGCCGGGCGACAAAGGTTGTCACCAACCTCCATGACACTCTGTCGTATGAAAGTGGTGGTGCGGTAATCAAGCGACTCAATTAATTAGTCCCGAAGTTCTTTAACGGGTATAGGGTCACACATCATCATGTAGTCCATGGGATTAGAGTAGCAGGGGGTGTTATTGAAATCAAGCTCGGGATCTATAGTAGCAATAATAAAAGGAAGAAAATAAAAAACAGGTTCGGAAGGGTGGGGGAGCATGGGTAATCCGCCAATGCTACGGAGGCGGGTGGGTTGTTGGGTGGATGTTGCACTTTGCTCTGCCATTTTTTTTTTTGTAAGAAGAAAAATAAGGTTTTTTTTTAAGATATTGCTTGGCTAGGATATATGAAAAGAAAAGACACTTTTGGCATGACCTTTAAATAATCCTATAATAATAAATTCCAAGTAATAGAAATTAATATAAACAAAAAAAACAAAAAAAAATTAAAAAAATTAAAATAAACTCTTCAAATCAACAAAAAAATCTTTGGCTCCAGAAGAACCTACTGACATAGGATAACCTATGACTGACATAGGAGTACTTCGATGGGACAACACACAACAACTTAAAAGAGAGGTAGAGGAAAAGACAAAATGAAAGATACACCAATTTCCAAAGCAAACAACCGCATTAAGAGTTCACAATTGTACGAACTTACATGGATGGTTCGACCAACATATCAAAGGGTACGACTAAGACAGTTCAGGGTACCACTTTCTTTATGTTTTAATACATTCACATCAAAACATTGTTTTGTTCCACTAATGTTTTGGAAGGTACGAATTACAATGACAAGGATAACACTAAATGGAATGCACCACTAATAAAACTTGTAGATGCCAAACCCTTCGTTAAGGGTACCATTTATATACTCTAGGGTACCACTCATACACTATAGGGTACCACTGGATATATTAATCTAACCAAAGCTTTTTGGATTACTCAACATAGCATGGAATGTATTGAAATACTATGAAGTAATTTTTTTGTCAGTTGAGAATCAATGCTGAGTATCTCAAGATTCTAAACTTAGCAAGTCATAATTTGGAGTTTTAGATAACAACATATTGGTAAATTGGATTGAATTTGAGCTAGTGTATTTTATCACAACAAATAGATGAATGGAATGAATCCCAAAGTATATTTAATGTCATTTGTAATAGTAGTAGTGAGTTTAATCTTCTCGTGATAAGAGAGACAAGGAAAATAATTTAAAAACCGTAATTGTTTAGTTGTGCTATATTACTTGATCTTATGAAATATTAGCTGGAATTTTTGTTTGTTAATTCTCTTTTATGGTTATAACCTCAATGAACTGCTAGGGTACCACTAACGAAACTAGGGGTACAACTGGACAGAAATTTTTTGTTTTTAATTTAACTGAAGTAGTGATTACTTCCACTGATATGCTGAAAGGTACGATGGACAATAATGAAAATAACACTAAAAGGAATGTACCACTTCAGTTTGGCAATCCCTTCATAGGGTACCATTCGCATACCCTAGGGTACCACTACACATGTGTATGCGTTTAACCAAAACCCTATACCAAACCATTTGGGAGTAATTCATGTATGAAGTATGGGATGTCATATTTGGAATATAATAATGTATTAAAGTTATAGCAATGAACTCAAAATCTTGGTATGCAACCAACGTTGAATCCAAAAAGCCAAATACGAATTATTTGAGGACAAAAAAATGATATTATTCAAGTTTTGACTTTAAACCTATGATGAAAATAACTATTAGACATCGAATCGTATTTGAGGACCAAAAAACAAGTATAGATTGGAAAATTGATCTTCCACAAAAAATTGAACTTCCTAGGAAATTTTAAGTAATGAACTTCCCCCATTTTATAGAAAGTGGAAATTCATGGGATTTCTGAGGAATGATGGACCGCTACCTGGTACAGGTCGCGTGTCGCCCAATACCAATGCGGGTTGTCCATCAAGAATTTCTTCCTAAACTTGGTGATGTTCTTGGACTTGCCCGGTGTAGGTGCGTGACCTTTATGCTCTAGCTCGACTTTATCAATTACCCAATCACCACCCTCGTTCACCTTTGCATATAATTTGACCGGGCATTGAACTTTTTTACTCTTCCTTTTAACAAGTTCCTCACTTATTTGTGAATCCGAGACAAAGGTGGGACCGGTTTTCTTGCTCTTCCTACCGGGCATACCAAAACACTCACATGTCCATGTGACACTCTTCTTCTCCTTGGCATTAACACCTTTACCTACAAAGGTTCCACTTGATCGAACCACCCCAAAACCTTCTTGCTTCCCGTAATTCCGAAAGTATTCATCTATTTTTTTCCAACTATCAAATACCATTCCAACATTAGGAGGGGGAAGAGAAACCTCTACATTTGCAAACTCCTCAATCTCAAAACTAATGGCCACCGTACTCTTCCCTTTCGTAGGAGTCTTGTAGGACTCTTCTCCAACATTTACCTATTCCACCAAATCAATAATCTATACATTAACACCAAACATCGAAGGATAATTCTACTTTTAACAGACAAACTGTTCAATAATCCTTGCTGCACATATTGGTATGCTACATACTTAAAACAAATACACACTTTAAGCAAAGCATTGAATCCAATAAAAATCAAATATATGGAACAAATACAGAGTAATAAATAACTCAATTCTATATCTTGTGTTCATATATTAAAAGATTACTGTCATTGTTTTCAATAAGAGTAAGAGAAGAAAGTTTTGTATTCAAAAAGAGTAAGAGAAGAAAGCCCCTAAAGGCTCCAACTTATTGATAATTAGAGAATGGAGTTTGTTCTAATAATATATGATTATGCCAACACTTCACAGCACTCGTATAATTGGGTTTCAGAAAGCTACACTTAATTCAAGCACAATTAATTGATCCATGTAAACAATTGTCATTTATTTGTGCTTAAATTATCTACTCCCTCACTCCCCTGTTCCTCTTAATAATGTTAATGTTGATATAATTTAGGTTTTTCATAAATTATCAATTAAATTATCAACAAACCCTAAAACTACGAATTAATGGGTTAACAATTACCTCCTTCAGCAATGCGTCTAAAGCAAACTCCAATTCATCTTCCTCGGCTCTATCGTGCTCCACTTGGTCTTCAATGGTAGCGTTGTTGTCGACATCGTCACCAAAAATGCGGCCGCTACCACCACCGAAGAGCTCATCACAGTCCTCCGTACGGTCTGTTAACACCGGATCCTCCATCACTAGCATCTTCCTTGCCATTTTCGACCATGAAGTCTTGCGCGCCCTCTCTGAACTTACCTCCTCTCAAGCAAAAAAAAAATGGAGTAAAAATGGTAAACCAAGAAAAATGGGTTGACTGTGAAAAGTAAAAAAAATAAAATGAGGACATTGGAGTCAAACAACTAATTCCAAGGTCAAATATAATATAAAGTAAAAAGAAATTTAGTATTACATTGTTGTATTATACCATATACCCGTATACAAGCTTTTCTTTTTTTTTTTTGCCTAACATCACTTTACACTGACAGTGGGTCCTACTCCGTTTCCTCAAACCCCCGTTCTGTTGGAGATGCATTTGCTAATGCATCTCAAAACTTCATTTCTACTTCCACTTACAAAAACTGCCAACTCTCAAATTAAAGAGACTAAAATTGTACAAAAACAGTAAAAGCGTGACAATATCACACTATTTAACATATATTTATTATCAAGGCGAACGTTTAGCGGAGATGCCAGAAACGCCGACTTTAAGGTCACAAGTTCGAACTTCACCATCTACATTCGCAAGTAAATATATATGAGAAAAATATGTGAAAGGGAAAAATTACACTCGTGTAGAGTACTCCCTATGTCCGTAAATAATTGTCACGTTATTTATAAGCTAGCTTTGACAATCGTTTTTTAATAACATATAAAAACACAAATTTTATCATGAAATATGTTGTTAAATAGGTATTAATTAATATAAAGTTTCATCATATCATATTTCTTAATTTTTTTTTCTATTATTTATCAACGCTTTTTTTTTTTTTTTTTTTTTTGGGCTTGGCCACACCGCGTGGCTAGCTAACACATGAGTAACCACCCCTTACCAGAAAACCCCTAAACAATTAAGTAACCCCTCACCAACCAAGTACCCTGACTTATCGAGTAACCCCTGACCGAGTGAGAAACCCCTGATTGATTAAGTAACCCATGAACAAGTAACCCCGACCATTCTTTCAAAAAAAAAATTGTGGCCAGATACACGGTATGGCAAACCACATATGAGAATTTTTTATTATTTAATCATATAGTGGTTACATATGCGCATGAAATTTGATCGTGTCAATTATTTAGAAACGAAGGGGGTATGAAAATTGAGTCCATACCCAACTCCCCCTAGCTACTTCCTAACAGTGATCGTCATGAGGTTGGCAAGCAATTGAAAAACCTCATGTAGCATACGTCATGAACCTCTAAATTTCTTTAGTGATCCCCATTTAACACGGAATTACAAGTTGACTTAAACCCTAACAATATTCCCCTATATTTATACCACCCCATATGCCCTGGATTCTCGTCATCATCATATTTATTTCCCTACCTACTTACATATAATTTTCATAGCATTTTAATCTTTCACTATTTTTATTTTTCATAAGAAAAAAAAAATGAGTAGCCTTACCATGGTGGAGGCAAAGCTGCCACCAGGGTTTAGGTTTCATCCAAGAGATGATGAACTTGTTTGTGATTACTTAATGAAGAAATGGAATGGTTGTGAATCTGCTCTTCTTATTGAAGTTGACCTCAACAAGTGTGAGCCTTGGGATATTCCTGGTCAGTCTGTTATTTTTTTTTCTTTTCCATTTTCGAGTTATGAACAAGGTAAAATTATATATAGGCTGCTTGCTTTTTATTTTTGAGTCGTATAGAGTTATAGAAGTTGTATGATGATACAGTAGCGGATTTAGGATTAGGATTAGGATTAAGATTTTTTTTTTTTTTTTACAAGGATTAAGGTTATTGGTAAGAAAACTATGGATTGTAAAGAAAATATATTTAAAATTTGTTTTCGGCATACAATAGTATGTTGTTATAATTTTCCGATTTCTGTAATTGAATGGTAAATTGATAAATAATAAACAAAAAATTAAAACAAAAATCTAAACATCATATCTCACATATTGGTTTAAGACTTTAAGTATACTCCTTGATTTGGTATTTGAGCTTTTAAAAATTACAGTAATTATTCCCCTTTAATTTTTACAAGCTCAAATACCAAACAAAGGAGTATAAATATTATGTGAATTTTCTATAATCACTTAATTAGGCCTATACCAATTACTGACTTTTTACGATATAATTTATGAAACGGGAAATTATTTGTGTCAGCCATCTTGTAAATTAATTCAATTACCTCCACTTAAAATTAGAATTATTCAATATTCGTCGGGCATAGTAATAGTTAGATAACTTCCATTCCACAAAAGTAAATTTAAATCTTAGGAAAATTATGAAAGCAGGATAAAAAAACGAAATTGGAATATATGTACTTAGTAAGGTTGAAATCAAAATTTGATTTCTTGTTTCACATAAAATCTGACTTTTAATATGCAGAAGAACATTAATTAATCTTGGCATAATAACCCAATTTGAGATTATTAATTCGACATAAGTTATGCTTTCGTCATTAGTATTGTAAAATATGTCCACATGCTTTCTACATTTATCTAATTTATTTTCAACTTCATGAAGTTATATTAGGTGAAATCCTACAGTCAATTGTTTTACCAAATTTTATGCAACATTTGGTTTATAATTGAAAACCCTTACTTTATGTAGAATATCATTCTTTTATATCTCATCAGCCTTTCTAATAAAAATTATAGACTGCTTCTTAATGGGCTTCTTACTCTTATATATTTGCTAAAAAAATCGCTTGATTTCTCATGATATTTACTGCTGGCTCTTTGTCTTCTTGGAATTTCACTTTTACAATGGTTAGCTTGCAATTTAATTTAAGGCGATCTAATTATCGTACCCCTCCGTTCCAGATTATAGCATCATTTGATTTTTTGTACAATTTACACTCTCCATTTTGACCATATATTTTATTTTACTATTATGTGAAAACAAATTTATATTGTAAAATGGTGTTGGTTTATCTTAATAGATATATTTTCGAAAGATTAATTTTTAATATAATAAATATATAATTACATATATTGCTTACAAACTCTTAAATGAACTTGGTTCACACTAATTTATTAGAGACACTATGATTGTTTGATTAATTAAAAAAATCAATGTACTAAATTAAAATAAAGAGTATTGTGTTGAAATAAAAGTCATTATGGTATTATAAAGGTAATAAGAGATTAATAGTGTTATATACTTGTCAATATGAATAATAAACATCAATATGTAAAAATTATGATCACTATTTTCAATTTAACATTGTACCTCATATTCACAATAATATTAAAAGCCACACAAGTTTTAATTAATGTTACTATATGTTAAAAATAAGTTTACTATATATATGAAAATTAGGGTCACTATATCAAATATAATGTCAGTTGCGTGCATATAAGGAAACCTCTAGTCCACAATAAAATCAGATCCACACAAGATTTTTCCAACATTTATAGTTAAATTTGTACTAAATAAACGTATTCAGAGCCAAAGTGATGCAATTAATCTAAGTAAAGTATATGCTGCTGGAGTAACACCGTATATAATTATATATAGTTACCACTTTTTGAATTTGACTTCAGATAGAGCTATAAATTATACTCCCTTTGTATTTAGGATGAGTGGATGAATAAAATTGTTGCATACAAATCAACATATATTTGTAGTACACAAGATCTAATAATTTTATTTCTCCATTAATAGTATTTATATATACATGTACTATCAACCATATTCATATATTAGATAATTACATCTAATAGTCCCTTATTTTTCCTGAGATAGTGACACCCTTGGCACCATCTAATTCAGAAGATAGTGATAAAAGTGATTACAAGTTTAATGTCGTTATACCTACTAATTATCATCTTTCAACGTACGTGTACAAAATGTCGAGGTTTAATGTCTCATCATCACCTATAAAATTTAATTCCTAATTAATTTGTTCTAGTTGTGAAATTTGATAGATAATTAAAAAAAAAATTATAAAATATAAAAAAATAATTCAATTTAGGAGCGTATGAAAATGCTACATTTTTTTTGTCACTTGTGTCATGCATGCAATGCAAAATTGGACCCTCTAGATAATGCAGCCGAATTTGGCATGGCCCTTATCACTAATTAAGTATTTAAATTCTTGGAGTAGGTTTTGATTGATTAGCTCTCTGGATAATGCATGGAAAATTCAGTATTAATTACTCATCTAAATTGTTGCTAATTATTTTCCAACATTTCCTAAATTTGTGAATTAGCCAAAAAAAAAAAATATATGTTTGTGTAAAACTAATACTGGAAAAAGTAGTTTTTAGTCGTAAATGTTTTATGCATCTGGAAATATATACATTATCTAAATTCCACATTAAAAAGTACTCTCTATATGAGTCAATTTTACTCAATACTTGTTTGTTTTGTTCGTATGCATACTCTTTAGAGTATAATGATAAATGATCAATTACTACATATATTTCATTGTATTTGTAATTTGGGGTAATATTTGTGAGATATAAAAATATTTCAACAAGTAATACAAAACGATGATAGTATTTAATTGTGCAATATAAAACCCGCCAAAAAAAATATATATACTAGCTTAATTAGCTTTTAAAAAAACAAAGTATTTTCTAGTAAGTAATATAAAAGTTGCTTGTATAAGCATTGAACATAAATATATATTTTTAATTCAAGATAAAAGTGTAAATGTTTGTAATTATGTTTGTTCCAATAGAAATGGTATTACATAAATTCATTAGAAATTTTATTTGATCACAATAAATATTTAACTTGTTTATTGTTGGGGCAGAAACAGCCTGTGTTGGAGGAAAAGAATGGTACTTTTACAACCAACGTGACAGGAAATATGCAACGGGCCTAAGAACAAATCGAGCAACTGCCTCCGGCTACTGGAAAGCCACCGGAAAAGACCGGCCAGTAATTCGACGTGGCAGCCTTGTGGGGATGAGGAAGACCTTGGTTTTCTACCAAGGGAGAGCACCCAAGGGCAAAAAAACCGATTGGGTTATGCATGAGTTTCGTGTTGAAGGACCATTCGGCCCTCCTAAACTTAATCCTACCTCTAAGGTTAGTCTTTCTCATTAACTTTAAGGACATATAATTTATGGAAAAGGATGTACATAGGATAAAGTAATATTAATTACACGACTTGTTTGTGATTTTGTCATGAATTTCCAACTTTATTTCATTTTAGAAAGTATGTTAAATGCTTATTATAATCCTAAAAGCTACATATATAATTACCTATAATTTGTACATGTTATAAACTTATAAGGTAAATACGCATATTCTAATTGTGCACTAGACTTTTCAGGCTGCATAGGGTTAGTTTAGAGCTATGAATTAATTAGGAGCCAGCCCCTCGCCTCGGTTTAGAAAGAAATGGATGGTCCATTTTTTTCTTCCCTTTATAAAGATCTTATACGAAGTTTTTGATGATCAGAAAGTACAAT